CTGTGTTGTGAGGAGCACCGTGTTGTGAGGAGCACTGTGTTGTGAGGAGCACCGTGTTGTGAGGAGCACTGTGTTGTGAGGAGCACTGTGTTGTGAGGAGCACTGTGTTGTGAGGAGCACCGTGTTGTGAAGAGCACTGTGTTGTGAGGAGCACTGTGTTGTGAGGAGCACCGTGTTGTGAGGAGCACTGTGTTGTGAGGAGCACCGTGTTATGAGGAGCACTGTGTTGTGAGGAGCACCGTGTTGTGAGGAGCACTGTGTTGTGAGGAGCACCGTGTTGTGAGGAGCACTGTGTTGTGAGGAGCACCGTGTTGTGAGGAGCACTGTGTTGTGAGGAGCACCGTGTTGTGAGGAGCACTGTGTTGTGAGGAGCACTGTGTTGTGAGGAGCACCGTGTTGTGAGGAGCACTGTGTTGTGAGGAGCACTGTGTTGTGAGGAGCACTGTGTTGTGAGGAGCACTGTGTTGTGAGGAGCACTGTGTTGTGAGGAGCACCGTGTTGTGAGGAGCACTGTGTTGTGAGGAGCACCGTGTTGAAAGGAGCACTGTGTTGTGAGGAGCACTGTGTTGTGAGGAGCACTGTGTTGTGAGGAGCACTGTGTTGTGAGGAGCACTGTGTTGTGAGGAGCACTGTGTTGTGAGGAGAACTGTGTTGTGAGGAGCACCGTGTTGTGAGGAGCACTGTGTTGTGAGGAGCACTGTGTTGTGAGGAGCACTGTGTTGTGGGGAGCACTGTGTTGTGAGGAGCACTGTGTTGTGAGGAGCACCGTGTTGTGAGGAGCAATGTGTTATGAGGAGCACCGTGTTGTGAGGAGCACTGTGTTGTGAGGAGCAACGTGTTATGAGGAGCACTGTGTTGTGAGGAGCACCGTGTTGTGAGGAGCACTGTGTTGTGAGGAGCACCGTGTTGTGAGGAGCACTGTGTTGTGAGGAGCACTGTGTTGTGAGGAGCACTGTGTTGTGAGGAGCACTGTGTTGTGAGGAGCACTGTGTTGTGAGGAGCACTGTGTTGTGAGGAGCACTGTGTTGTGAGGAGCACTGTGTTGTGAGGAGCACTGTGTTGTGAGGAGCACTGTGTTGTGAGGAGCACTGTGTTGTGAGGAGCACTGTGTTGTGAGGAGCACTGTGTTGTGAGGAGCACTGTGTTGTGAGGAGCACTGTGTTGTGAGGAGCACTGTGTTGTGAGGAGCACTGTGTTGTGAGGAGCACTGTGTTGTGAGGAGCACTGTGTTGTGAGGAGCACCGTGTTGTGAGGAGCACTGTGTTGTGAGGAGCACCGTGTTGAAAGGAGCACTGTGTTGTGAGGAGCACTGTGTTGTGAGGAGCACTGTGTTGTGAGGAGCACTGTGTTGTGAGGAGCACTGTGTTGTGAGGAGCACTGTGTTGTGAGGAGCACTGTGTTGTGAGGAGCACCGTGTTGTGAGGAGCACTGTGTTGTGAGGAGCACCGTGTTGTGAGGAGCACTGTGTTGTGAGGAGCACTGTGTTGTGAGGAGCACTGTGTTGTGAGGAGCACTGTGTTGTGAGGAGCACTGTGTTGTGAGGAGCACCGTGTTGTGAGGAGCACTGTGTTGTGAGGAGCACTGTGTTGTGAGGAGCACTGTGTTGTGGGGAGCACTGTGTTGTGAGGAGCACTGTGTTGTGAGGAGCACCGTGTTGTGAGGAGCAATGTGTTATGAGGAGCACCGTGTTGTGAGGAGCACTGTGTTGTGAGGAGCAACGTGTTATGAGGAGCACTGTGTTGTGAGGAGCACTGTGTTGTGAGGAGCACTGTGTTGTGAGGAGCACCGTGTTGTGAGGAGCACTGTGTTGTGAGGAGCACCGTGTTGAAAGGAGCACTGTGTTGTGAGGAGCACTGTGTTGTGAGGAGCACTGTGTTGTGAGGAGCACTGTGTTGTGAGGAGCACTGTGTTGTGAGGAGCACTGTGTTGTGAGGAGCACTGTGTTGTGAGGAGCACCGTGTTGTGAGGAGCACTGTGTTGTGAGGAGCACCGTGTTGTGAGGAGCACTGTGTTGTGAGGAGCACTGTGTTGTGAGGAGCACTGTGTTGTGAGGAGCACTGTGTTGTGAGGAGCACTGTGTTGTGAGGAGCACCGTGTTGTGAGGAGCACTGTGTTGTGAGGAGCACTGTGTTGTGAGGAGCACTGTGTTGTGGGGAGCACTGTGTTGTGAGGAGCACTGTGTTGTGAGGAGCACCGTGTTGTGAGGAGCAATGTGTTATGAGGAGCACCGTGTTGTGAGGAGCACTGTGTTGTGAGGAGCAACGTGTTATGAGGAGCACTGTGTTGTGAGGAGCACCGTGTTGTGAGGAGCACTGTGTTGTGAGGAGCACCGTGTTGTGAGGAGCACTGTGTTGTGAGGAGCACCGTGTTGTGAGGAGCACTGTGTTGTGAGGAGCACCGTGTTGTGAGGAGCACTGTGTTGTGAGGAGCACTGTGTTGTGAGGAGCACCGTGTTGTGAGGAGCACTGTGTTGTGAGGAGCACTGTGTTGTGAGGAGCACTGTGTTGTGAGGAGCACTGTGTTGTGAGGAGCACTGTGTTGTGAGGAGCACCATCTTGTGAGGAGCACTGTGTTGTGAGGAGCACTGTGTTGTGAGGAGCACTGTGTTGTGAGGAGCACTGTGTTGTGAGGAGCACTGTGTTGTGAGGAGCACTGTGTTGTGAGGAGCACTGTGTTGTGAGGAGCACTGTGTTGTGAGGAGCACCGTGTTGTGAGGAGCACTGTGTTGTGAGGAGCACCGTGTTGAAAGGAGCACTGTGTTGTGAGGAGCACTGTGTTGTGAGGAGCACTGTGTTGTGAGGAGCACTGTGTTGTGAGGAGCACTGTGTTGTGAGGAGCACTGTGTTGTGAGGAGCACTGTGTTGTGAGGAGCACCGTGTTGTGAGGAGCACTGTGTTGTGAGGAGCACCGTGTTGTGAGGAGCACGGTGTTGTGAGGAGCACTGTGTTGTGAGGAGCACTGTGTTGTGAGGAGCACTGTGTTGTGAGGAGCACTGTGTTGTGAGGAGCACCGTGTTGTGAGGAGCACTGTGTTGTGAGGAGCACTGTGTTGTGAGGAGCACTGTGTTGTGGGGAGCACTGTGTTGTGAGGAGCACCGTGTTGTGAGGAGCAATGTGTTATGAGGAGCACCGTGTTGTGAGGAGCACTGTGTTGTGAGGAGCAACGTGTTATGAGGAGCACTGTGTTGTGAGGAGCACCGTGTTGTGAGGAGCACTGTGTTGTGAGGAGCACCGTGTTGTGAGGAGCACTGTGTTGTGAGGAGCACCGTGTTGTGAGGAGCACTGTGTTGTGAGGAGCACCGTGTTGTGAGGAGCACTGTGTTGTGAGGAGCACTGTGTTGTGAGGAGCACCGTGTTGTGAGGAGCACTGTGTTGTGAGGAGCACTGTGTTGTGAGGAGCACTGTGTTGTGAGGAGCACTGTGTTGTGAGGAGCACTGTGTTGTGAGGAGCACCATCTTGTGAGGAGCACTGTGTTGTGAGGAGCACTGTGTTGTGAGGAGCACTGTGTTGTGAGGAGCACTGTGTTGTGAGGAGCACTGTGTTGTGAGGAGCACTGTGTTGTGAGGAGCACCATGTTGTGAGGAGCACTGTGTTGTGAGGAGCACTGTGTTGTGAGGAGCACTGTGTTGTGAGGAGCACTGTGTTGTGAGGAGCACTGTGTTGTGAGGAGCACTGTGTTGTGAGGAGCACTGTGTTGTGAGGAGCACTGTGTTGTGAGGAGCACTGTGTTGTGAGGAGCACTGTGTTGTGAGGAGCACTGTGTTGTGAGGAGCACTGTGTTGTGAGGAGCACTGTGTTGTGAGGAGCACTGTGTTGTGAGGAGCACTGTGTTGTGAGGAGCACTGTGTTGTGAGGAGCACTGTGTTGTGAGGAGCACTGTGTTGTGAGGAGCACTGTGTTGTGAGGAGCACTGTGTTGTGAGGAGCACTGTGTTGTGAGGAGCACTGTGTTGTGAGGAGCACTGTGTTGTGAGGAGCACTGTGTTGTGAGGAGCACTGTGTTGTGAGGAGCACTGTGTTGTGAGGAGCACTGTGTTGTGAGGAGCACTGTGTTGTGAGGAGCACTGTGTTGTGAGGAGCACTGTGTTGTGAGGAGCACTGTGTTGTGAGGAGCACTGTGTTGTGAGGAGCACTGTGTTGTGAGGAGCACTGTGTTGTGAGGAGCACTGTGTTGTGAGGAGCACTGTGTTGTGAGGAGCACTGTGTTGTGAGGAGCACTGTGTTGTGAGGAGCACTGTGTTGTGAGGAGCACTGTGTTGTGAGGAGCACTGTGTTGTGAGGAGCACTGTGTTGTGGGGAGCACTCACATACTGGTTAGCTTGGTGAGGCTCCCAATGGACTCAGGGATCGACCCACTGAATTGGTTCTGCCACACTGAACTGCGTGCGGGGGGCGTGGGTGTTTAGGGTTTAGGGTGTGCCGTGAGGGCGTGGTGCGTGTGCGCGGTGTGTAGGCGTAGTGCACGGTGCATGAATGAATGAGACAGAGAAAACCGGGGGGGGAGGGGGGGGGGGGTGGGGTGGGGGTTTGGCGGGTTATAGCGAGTGTGTCATGGAGATGGGGTACGGACAAGTGCATGGTTACAAATTTTGCAGGAAAAGGTTACAAGCTCAATGCAGCTGGGACAGGCGTCATGGAGATGTGGAGTTGTGTGAAAGGAATAGACAAATGAAGGCAGAGAGAAGGCAGAGAGAAGGCAGAGAGAAGGCAGAGAGAAGGCAGAGAGAAGGCAGAGAGAAGGCAGAGAGAAGGCAGAGAGAAGGCAGAGAGAAGGCAGAGAGAAGGCAGAGAGAAGGCAGAGAGAAGGCAGAGAGAAGGCAGAGAGAAGGCAGAGAGAAGGCAGAGAGAAGGCAGAGAGAAGGCAGAGAGAAGGCAGAGAGAAGGCAGAGAGAAGGCAGAGAGAAGGCAGAGAGAAGGCAGAGAGAAGGCAGAGAGAAGGCAGAGAGAAGGCAGAGAGAAGGCAGAGAGAAGGCAGAGAGAAGGCAGAGAGAAGGAGGGTACAAGATGTTGAGGCTGATGGCACTGCCAAGTGATTCCGGGATGGCTCCGCTCAGCCGATTGCCCACCAGGCTTCTGCAGCACACAGGGCACAGGGCCGCACACACACACGCGCGCAGGGCAGCACACGCACACATGCAGGGCAGGCCGATGGACATGGGAGGTTGTTCGGCCAAGTCCACCTTACAAGGAGCATGGGAAAGTGTGTCTGTGCTGGCATCTCTGTCTGTGTGCATGCGTGTGGGTCCGTGTGTGTATGTGTATGTGTTTGTGTGCATGTGTGCGTGCGCGTGCGTGTGCGTGCTTGCATGTAGAGCATGCACATGGATCCCAACCACGGGCTTGGGAAGCAAGGTGGCACCACAGCTACACGGGGATAAGTAGGGTGAACGGGGATGAATGGGGATGAGTCGGGGTGAATAAGGATGCAGGAAGAGAGCGCACATGTAGTCTAATGTGGTGTGACCGGACACCCATGATGGAAAGGACCCTGTTAGATCCATGTAGCTGAGCCCCCTGCATGCATGCACACACACGCACACGCACATGCATACGCACACACACACACTCGCACACACACGCACACAAACGCACACAAAGGCACACACACACGCGCGCGCGCACACACACACACACACACAAACACACACACACACACACGCACACACACACACACACTCACACACACACACACACACACACACACACACACATTGTTGCTCAACAAGCAAGCATGCACACGTCATGCCCTTTGCAGGCACTGAAGTCGCACACGAAGCATACTCAGAAAATCATAGGCCTGCCATCACCGTCGTGTGTTCATGCCCACACACACCAGCATACATCCTCCTCTGCGCTGTCCTGCTCAATGCTCCCTATCACGTTACACCGCTCAATCTCTTTACGCAAGGCATGCCATGGACAAGTGTGGCATGGGGCACAATGCAGGTGAAGGCACAATCTGATGGGATGCCAAGCGAGGTGCATCGCAACACAGGAGTGGCATGTATGCACGCAAGTGGGATTAGGTATCGCTTCTAGATGTACCGAAGCGTACTGTGCTGTGGAGAGGTGCTGCTATGAGAAGAGAATGCGCAGCAGTGAGAATGAGGTGCAATGAGAATGTGCGGGATTGCAGATGCGAATCAAAGACAAGGAGCGCACAGGGCGTTGAGATTGGTGAGGCTTGAGAGTGCGTCGGGAATGGAGCCTGTGATTCCCCTGTTGTAGCTCAGATCCCTGTCAGCACCCACGAGGCAATAGACAAGTGGCAACAGCCACAATTCAAACAGGCCGCAGTCAACAGCACGGCAAGGCGACACAGTGCATGTGTGTGATCGGCGGCACAGTGCATGTGTGTGATCGGCGGCACAGTGCATGTGTGTGATCGGCGGCACAGTGCATGTGTGTGATCGGCGGCACAGTGCATGTGTGTGATCGGCGGCACAGTGCATGTGTGTGATCGGCGGCACAGTGCATGTGTGTGATCGGCGGCACAGTGCATGTGTGTGATCGGCGGCACAGTGCATGTGTGTGATCGGCGGCACAGTGCATGTGTGTGATCGGCGGCACAGTGCATGTGTGTGATCGGCGGCACAGTGCATGTGTGTGATCGGCGGCACAGTGCATGTGTGTGATCGGCGGCACACGAAACAGCTCGGCCGGCACAAGAAGCACAGCAGCAGTGCAGTAATGAGAAATCGCAGGGACAATTACTGAGCTACGTAGTGTGTGTGATTTGGCAGCATGATTCATGAGAATGACGGAAGAAAGCAGCACATTTCACTCCAACATTTCCTGTCATCACTGTGTGTGTCATGTCACCATCACCATCATACCATCTCATGTCCTTCCACCATCACCATTTCGTGCCATCGCACTCACAGCAGGTCCAAGAGCACTCACAGCAGGTTCAAGAGCACTCACAGCAGGTTCAAGAGCACTCACAGCAGGTTCAAGAGCACTCACAGCAGGTTCAAGAGCACTCACAGCAGGTGGAGGAGCGCGAGGCGAGAAAAGGAGGGTGGGATGGACCCCGCGAGGTTGGTGGTTGCGAGACGGCTGAGAGGCGTGCACGGCGGGTGGGGGGAGGGAGTAGAGGTCACGTGAAGGGGAGTTGGAATGCACTGTGCGACTGACTCTGACAAACATGTGATGGCATGGCATAGCATGGCATGACATGGAACGACATGGAGCAGCACAGCAGCAAGTGGAGCAGAGCAGCATGGCACGGCATACAGGTATGTGAGCGCTGTGAGGTTGCCGATAACATCCGGTAGGGGGCCGTCCAGAGACTGCTCTGCCACGTGCCTGCGGGTGGCATGGGTTGGACACGAGCGTGGGGCACAAGTTAACGGTCATGAGGCAACGTTCATGAGCCATGCGACATGGATGGGTCATGTGACATGGATGGGTCATGCGCCATGGATGGGTCATGCGCCATGGACGGGTCATGCGACATGGATGGGTCATGCGACATGGATGGGTCATGCGACATGGATGGGTCATGCGACATGGATGGGTCATGCGCCATGGATGGGTCATGCGACATGGATGGGTCATGGGCCGCACATAGTGGAGAAGGGCGCGTGCCGCGCGTGGGGGATGGGGCATGGGCAACGAGGCGTCATGGCGCATGCAGCAAGAACCAGATGGCAGGCGAACAGCAACCTCATTTTCTCGCCTTTGCACGCCCACCCGCTCATTCCTCCCTTCCCACCCTCCCACCAGCTCCACACCCCACTCACTCCCTCCCCTCCCCCCTTTAAATGATCAAGTCCATACGCTCCTCACCCCACCTTCCCCCCCCCTTCATTTTTGTCGTTGTGACGCACATATAAGTAATCATGCCGGCAGCGTCGCACTCCACGCCGTACACGGCAGCGCAGTCGCCCCCCGCGGCCCACCCCTGCAGCGCCGCCGCCCACTGCTCCTGGCACGCCGCCAGCACCGCCGCTGCGAAGGGCAGCCATGGGGGGAGGGCGGAAGGTGGCGAATGGGCGGGAGCATGTGAGCGGGCGCAAGGGAACATCTTGTGGTAATTCTCGAGTCAATACAAGGGGCCTAGGATGGAGAGTGGAGGCCGGGGGGTGAAGGGCGAGCATGTGAGCGGGCACAGGGAACGGACGGGAGTGTGGGCACCAGGCGGGGGGATGGAGCATGGTGAGAAGAGGGGGGGGGGAGGTGTGAGTACGGGTGGAGAGGCAGGAAAGAAGGGAAGAGGGAGGAACGGAGAGAGGTGGAAGACAACGAGGGTTGGATGGGGGAGAGTGGTGCCGGGCGTGAGAAAGGGCTCGACAGTAACGGCGAGCATAGAGTGGAGACGGTGGGTAGGAGGGTTCTGGGAAGGGATACGGGTGCAAGCGGAGAGGCAAGCACGGATAGACGAGGGGCCCGAGCGCGGTTAAGGGGGGCGGAGGGAGGGGGAGATGGAGAGGGGAGGGGGACGACGAGGTATGGAAGGAAAAGAGCTGGTGAGGTATTGTGCCACGTGTAATACCGGCGGAACTCTACGTCTAAATACCAAACGATACGTCTCTACCATGACCATACACGGCGTGCTAGGCTGCGGATAGTGCCAGGCGGATATGAGTGCGAGGCTATTGAAAGCTAGAGAGAGCGACCTTGCGACGGGTGGAGATCCACAGCGGCCGTGGTCGTCAGACTGCTCGCCATTGCGAGGCCGAGCATTGCGACGAGGACCACGGCGACGCCATGCGACTCTTCCATTTGAATCAGTCGCTGAACGAGGCGGATGTGTCGCGCGTTTTCGGAACGTTCTATGTACACTGCGCGCACAGTGCAAGGAACAGGTGGAATAGTGGGAACTTGCTGCAAATAAGGACGCGTTACATGGGGCGATCGATTATCAATATCGATCCGACACCGTTCTGTAATAACGCGTTTTCCATCCGAAACTTACAGTACCGTTTTTTGATCCCGAAAAACGAACCTGAGAAGATGGATCATACAAACTGACATCCTACGGTCGCGGTACATTTGCTTTCAAGTCAGCCTTTCTGAACAAGCCGTTCAAGAACGCACAACAACCGTAAGAAAAAATTTGTTACTAGGACTAGTAAGAATGAACCAAAATAGTGCGCCAAATAAACTTATAACCAGACTATGATTAATCAGACTATGATTAATCAGAAAAAATTTGTTACTAGGACTAGTAAGAATGAACCAAAATAGTGCGCCAAATAAACTTATAACCAGACTATGATACAATGAAAGTGGGGGAATCTTAGGACGCGTCACATATGTTGAATCCTCAGCACCAATCCTAACCAGGATCGTTTTTTGGCGGGGTAAAAAAAGGTCATAAAAAGGTCCAGTGCAGCACCAATCCTAAGCAGGATCGTTTTTTGGCGGGGTAAAAAAAGGTAATAAAAAGGTCAAGTGCAGAGTCAAAGTAAATTGTATGTGTGTTAGTTATCTTATGCTACAGTGATGTATATTACATACAGTACAAGACTTTCCAGGTTAGACAAAATGTATCGCCTGTCCCCTAGTTTCAGGGCCCAAAATTGGTTTTGGGCCACCCTGTCTACTCTGACTGCTAGGGTAAAATTTTTGTACACTAACAAAAACTGTTACAATCCTAAAATGGACTTAGCCAGGGATCGGCTTAGGGTTGATCGCCAGTGTTGCAGCGGAGTGTTGACCTCAGGTCAAAGTGAATGTAAATGACTAAGATGATAAAAGCATGCATACATCGTGTTTATATAGGAATACAAAGGGAAAACGAAACGTCCTAGCTAGCCATGTATTCTAAGGGGTACATTCCCTTATTACAGCAATTTCAAACTGTGTGGCGAGGGAACCCGTTTCAAACCTGTTTCCGCTCTTTTCACTTCAAATGTTTCTGCCTGCATCGGTCTCGATATGACGATTGCTGGTGTCGCTTTGACTCTTCTGACTCCTCGACTTCGTACTCGGTAAAGTCGGCTCCTGCAGCGTATAGGAATGCCTTCTCATAAAGTTTCATATCTCAACACCCCCCTTCATTCCTGGACGTGTCGAAGGCTGACTCGCTTGACTACTCCAGTCAGGTTGGAGTAGTGCTGGTACTGCTGACGTGGCAGTCGCTTGGTGAGGAAGTCAGCTGCCATCTCGGTCGTGGGGCAGTACGTCAGGTCAACCTTCCCCTGGTCAACTTCGTCCTTGACGAAAAAAGTACCGAAGTGTAATGTGCTTCGTGCTGTTGACAAACCCCGGCTTGTTCGCGATCCTGATGGCGCTCTGGTTGTCGCAGTGGAGGCGAAAAGTGGCGAAGTTGAGATTTTTGCCTCCTGTAGAAGTTCTTGCAGGTTCGCGAACTGCAGCAGACGCAGCGATGTACTCTGCTTCGGCTGATGACAGGGCAACCAGCTCCTGCTTCTGCGAGTTCCAGGAGATTGGACGCGTTGGCTCCAGGTGGAAGACGAAGCCTGTTCGTGACCGTCGATTGGCTGGGTCAGCGGCGTGATCTGCGTCCACGTAGCCGTTGAGGTTGAAGGATGTTGTTGTCAGCATGGAGTAGGAGAGCCTGATGTCTTGCGTAGAAATGAAGTACTGTACGTCGCGCTCCAAGTCCAGCTAGCTGGTTCTCTGCTACTGGCTTGCGAGAGTTTTGTGCCAGTTGGCTGGCGATGTACGAAAGGTCGGGTCAGCAGGTGACAGAAGCAAACAATAGGCACCCCAGTTGCTGCTGATAAAGTTGGAGTCCTGCGGGCGACAGAGGTTTGTTGTCCAGTTTGTAGTTGGCGCTGGGCGTACAGTAGGGAGTCGAGAGTGGTGCGGGTGGAATGTTGAAGCGTTCGCCCAGCTGCTCTGCGTACTTAGAAGCTGGCAGATGGATTGAGTCTGGCGCGTAGGTGATGTTCAGACCCAGGAAATGTGTAACTTTGTGGTTGATGGTGATGTCTACGCGCTGCGCGAGGTTCTGCTCGAACTGGTTAAGGAACGTGTTGCAGGTGCCGGTATACAGTATGTCATCCACGTAAACTGTCAGCATGGTGTAGTCACCGTTGAAGTGGAGGCGATACATTCCCGGGTCGTGCGGCATCTGCTTGAATCCGATATCGAGAAGTATCTTGTGCAGGTGCTACTGCCAGAGTCGAGGCGCCTGTTTGATCCCGTAGATCAATTTCTTCAGCTGGCAGACTCTAAAGTCTCTAGATTCTCTCTTCAGATGTATTGCGTATGGCGCGTAGGTGATGTCCAGACCAAGGAACTATGTAAATTTGTGGTTGATGGTGATGTCGACGCGCTGGGCGAGGTTTTGCTCGAACTGGTTAAGGAGCGTGTAGCAGGTGCCGGTAAACAATAGGTCATCCACGTAAACTGTCAGCAGGATGTAGTCACCGTTGAAATGGAGGCAATACATTCCCAAGTCGTGCGGCAGCTGCTTGAATCCCGGTGCTGGGCCTGGCGGTCCTTCGGGTGCTTCATCCCGTCGGGAGCCACTCTCTTCACAGGAGCTGCGCGAGTGGTTTGCTCGGCGCTGGAGCCGTGCTGCAGGAGCTGGTGGTGCTATGGGCGCTGGAGGTCCTACTCCTGCTGGAGGTCTTGCTGCTGGTGGAGCTGCTGGGGGTTCTGGAGCCACGGGTCCCGGAGGTGCTCGTATTGGAGGTACTGGAGCTGCTGGGCCTGGTGGTGCTGCTGATACTACTGCTACTGCTGCTCCTGGCGGTGGCTGGATGCAGCTCCAGCGACGTCCGCGTGAGTCCCTCACGCCCCAGCAACTTCGTGAGTGGTACGCTAGTTGGGGTTGTAGGGTTGGCCGTGGTGGGAGTCGCCCTGGAGCGGGTCGTTCGGGAGCTTCTTGTAGTGACCAGGTGCAGCTGCAGCAGCGTCCGCGCACGGTCCTTTCGCCCCAGCAGCTTCGTGAGTGGTACGCTCAGAGTAGAGGGTCACGGAGTACTGCTCGCTGCCCGTACGTCATTCGCACTGGTGCTCGGGCTGGTCAGCCTTGCGGGACGGTTGGTCACACAATGTCCCGCTGCTTCGCCAGTTTGAGCGACGCCTGGCGTACAGAGTTTGGCGACGACGCTGAGCTCCCCTCGTGGGGGCACCACCGCCTTGGTCACCCCTCCCTGCCTCGTCTCCGAGGCATTGCCTCCCGTGTCCTTGTCACTGGTCTTCCCCGGTCTCTCCCTCCCCTTCCCCCGGGGCCTGCCCCTACCTGCGTTCTTTGCGTTGAAGGGCGGCAGCGCGCCGCTCCTCACTCCTCCGAGTTCCCTCCGACGGAGGCTCCCTTGCAGACGCTTCACATGGACGTGTGGGGCCCAGCCCGCTTCCGTGGCCAGGGTCACGAGCGCTACTTTCTGCTGGTCGTTGACGACTACTCGCGTTACACCACAGTCTTCCCCTTGCGCCGCAAGGGTGAGGTCACTGAGGTGCTGATCGACTGGATCCGCGCTGCCCGTCGTCAGCTCAGCGAGAGTTTCGGCTGGTCAGCCTTGCGGGACGGTTGGTCACACAGAGTCCCGCTGCTTCGCCAGTCTGAGCGACGCCTAGCATACAGAGTTTGGCGACGACGCTGAGCTCCCCTCCTGGCTGGAGCTGCTTAGGCAGAGGGTAGATATCTTTGCTCTTGACTATGATGCTATCCTCACTGCCATGTATGCATTGCCTACTAGTGCTGAGGGTGCCGGTTACCTGTGTGTGCTGCCTGACCCAGGTATAGAGTCTGCTGCTCTAGGTGCTGGTGAGGTTGCTGCTCTGGGTGCTAGTGCGTCTCCTGCTCCAGGTGCCGGTGAGGCGGCTGCTCTAGGCGCTAGTGAGTCCATTGCTCCAGGTGCTGGTGAGTCTGCTCTCTCTGGTACTGCGCCTGCTGCAGCCTTGCACACTTTCACCCTTGACTCGGGTGCTTCCCGCTCCTTCTTTCGCGACTGCACCGCACTCTCGCCGCTCAGTCGGCCGGTGGCAGTCTCTCTGGCTGACCCCTCTGGGGGTCCGGTCCTTGCACACTCCTCCACGGTTCTGCCGTGTCCGGCGGTCCCGTCTGGCTCTCTGTCTGGCCTCCACCTCCCCTCGTTCTCCACAAACTTGGTGAGTGGAGCTGACCTTCAGGACGCGTGGGTTGACCAGTTCACTCCTGGAGGTCAGCGGGTGACCCACTGTTCGTGTACTCGGACGGGCCGGCACCTGGCCACGTTCACGTGTCAGCTTGGGTCGAGCCTGTACACCCTGACTACCGTGTCTCCTCCGGTTGCTGAGTCTGGTCAGGTGGCTGCGTCGGGTCAGGTGTTTGCTGCAGCGTCCCGGTCTGGTCCTGAGTCTGCCCCCTGCTCGTGTCGCCTCCTGTCTCACCAGACTCTCCTCTGG